TCGCTTTAACACCCTATTTGCTTTCATTTGGATAAGTCTTTAATTCCTGTGCAGCCCCGGCTCCGCGGGATCTATTGAGCCGCGTGCGCTCACAAATCCCTCTCCCGCCTGCCAGGAAAAGTCCCTGCCTGCTCGGAGCAAGTTTCCTAAACCTGTGGCTAATCGGAGTAGCTGATGCTTCCCACAGTAAGAGCTGGAGATATCGTTGCTCCTTCCCTCCAGAAACAATTAGCAGGGGGGAAACGTGCCACGCGACGCCGCTGGCATCTGCTGCTTGGGCTCCCCTTCGGGGTGGTGGGGCCAGGAAGGACGTGGGGGTGGGAAACCAGGGGTTAAATCATCCCCCTGAGCCCTGGAGAGAGGCAGCATAGAAAAATTTGGGTTGGAAGGGACCATAAAACCCATCCAGTGCCACCAGACACCTCCCACCAGCCCAGGTTGCTCCAAGCCCCCTCCAACCTGGCCTTGAACCCCTCCAGGGATGGGGCAGCCACAGCTTTTTGGGGCAACTTGTTCCAGGCTCTCACCACCCTCCAGAGTGAAAAAATTCTTCCTAATACCACAGAATCACAGAACAGTCAGAGTTGGAAGGGACTTTAAAGACCATCTCATTCCACCCCCCTGCCCTGGGCAGAGACACCTCCCACCAGCCCAGGTTGCTCCAAGCTCCGTCCAACCTGGCCTTGAAATAACTCCTTAAATGCTAATTACAGAGCCCCCCAGTGAGGGGAATGGCCGGGGACTGGGGAAGGGTGATCCTTGGAAGGGAAGGGTGACCCTTGGAAGGGAAGGGTGACCCTTGCATTAGCCCCGTGGTGTCCCCAATGGTGTCACCGTGATGGGACACACCGTGTCCCCCACACCAGTACCCTGGGCTGAGCAGAAAAGGGTGACAAGGTGCTGGGGGTGCTTTGTTACCCCAAATATTCAGCCGTGGTAACCCAAAAATGGCTTTTTCTTCCCTTCCTCCCTTCCCTCTGCACATTAAGACGCTGCCTGTTCCTCTGCACTGGAGGGGCTGGAGAATTTATGGCTCTAAACCCACTTTCCTCCTCTCCAAAAAAATCCCCGGGGTTGGTTGAAGCGTGTAAAGCTCCCGTGTCACTCGGGGCTGGCTCCTGTGGGAGCCCTGACAGCAGCTAATGCTGTTAGTCTGTGGCGGGGAGGGATTTCAGCATTAAAAAGGTGAAAAAAACCCCCCATCTCATTCCACCCCCCTGCCCTGGGCAGAGACACCTCCCACCAGCCCAGGTTGCTCCAAGCTCCGTCCAACCTGGCCTTGAAATAACTCCTTAAATGCTAATTACAGAGCCCCCCAGTGAGGGGAATGGCCGGGGACTGGGGAAGGGTGATCCTTGGAAGGGAAGGGTGACCCTTGGAAGGGAAGGGTGACCCTTGCATTAGCCCCGTGGTGTCCCCAATGGTGTCACCGTGATGGGACACACCGTGTCCCCCACACCAGTACCCTGGGCTGAGCAGAAAAGGGTGACAAGGTGCTGGGGGTGCTTTGTTACCCCAAATATTCAGCCGTGGTAACCCAAAATGGCTTTTTCTTCCCTTCCCTCTGCACATTAAGACGCTGCCTGTTCCTCTGCACTGGAGGGGCTGGAGAATTTATGGCTCTAAACCCACTTTCCTCCTCTCCAAAAAAATCCCCGGGGTTGGTTGAAGCGTGTAAAGCTCCCGTGTCACTCGGGGCTGGCTCCTGTGGGAGCCCTGACAGCAGCTAATGCTGTTAGTCTGTGGCGGGGAGGGATTTCAGCATTAAAAAGGTGAAAAAAACCCCCACAAACCACCTTAAAATCACCAGCGGTGGGGTTTTCCTGCCGCTCACAAGCAGAGCAAAACAAAAAAACACCTATGTCCTCTCAGGGACACCTCTTGGGGACACCACCAGGAGGGTCAGGCTGGATTTTGGGGGGTGATTTGAGGGTGTTGGTGGCCCTGGCTGCTGGCGAGGGATGCGATGGACTTAACTCCGGCTCGGGCAGAGCTTTGCTATCTTTAGGTGGAAGGTGAGGGATTGTGGCTCTTAGGGTGGCCCCGCAGGTAGAGAGGGAGAAAAATCCCCCTGGGTGCCCCCAGCCCTGGCGTGGGGGGCACTGACCCCAACTCCCATCCCCACGGGGGTCTGGCCTCGCCGACCCCCCGGCCGCCTTCCCCACCACCTTTCTAGGACACAATCTGTACCGAATTACGAGCCTGCTGTTAACTTCCCTTGCACTCTATTCTCGTGTTTGCTGTTATTTTTTAACACTTTTTTTTTGTGTGTGTGTGTGTGTATCTCTATATTATTTTTTTTTTTCATTTAATTTTTTAATAAAAGCACTACCCCTCTTCTCCCCAGAGCCTGCCTGTAGCGAAGGCATGGTCTGTACAACTGCAATTATTTCGAAGAACAGATGGAGTGAGGAGCAGAAAGTCTGTTAATAGTAATAGAAATGCTACATGTTAACCTGGACAGCACACGATGACAGTCCCATGACTACACGTTCTGTTCCTACCAGCTGGGCTCCCCGAGCCGAGCCGAGAGATTCAGAAACGCCGTCCTCGGCTCCTCACCCTCCCCAAAGTTAGAGCTCAAATTCCTTCACACTTGCCTGCGGAGGGTTTTTGGGTTGTTGGGCTGCTTTTCCCACCCCCCCCCT